ATAAGCACAATATTAATTTTTGTATAAATACAGTTTTATTACTCAGTGAAATATGAACAGTATATGATTGAATCATTAATAACACAGTAACCATGGTTATTTGTTATCAATCAGCAGCTGCATTTTAAAATATTAAAAGCCAAAAAAACTAGGACTAAGAAGAAAAGAAAGCGTCAAGACAGTACACAATCATTCACTCTCAGCAAAGTGATTAAACAGGCTGAAAATTACCATGTGACAATAAATGCACAGATACACTGAAATGAAGTACAGAAACCGGATACAATGATAGACAGTTATTCTACAAATACTGAACTTGAATCAGTTGAGCTGATGATCATTAAATTATTATAAAAATAGAAGTTTTGCTGAACAAGTCATTTCAATGACATAGTTTCTGTCTATATTAATATGCATTTGAAGATGCAAAAGGGGGAAGAAATAATGTCAAGGTAATATCATTGTAAAAAAAAAATTAGGATGCACCTTTCAGAGTTAATGTGTCAGAGAAAAAAATGAAATTCAAAAAATTATATGCATTAGTAATCTACTGTGTGGTGTTCATACCAAGTTCGAAATTTGAAATTGGCCAAGGCATGCCTGGGAAATTGTTGATGGCATGTTGTTGTTTTTTTGTTGGCAGGCAGTCATAAGTAACATAATACCTTGAAAACAATCCATAAAATTTGATAAAAAAAAAAAAAAAAATAGAAAACACAAGAAAAAATAAAATAGCCATGAACCATCTATTTTGAAACAAATCACAAAACAATATGAAGGCAATTACTAGCACAGGATGAGTGATGTCTCTACCAAGTTTGAGTGAAAGCGACTTGAACAGTGTTTTTGTTAATTAAAAGCGGCTGCCAATTTGCCAAATGTCAACAAAGCAAAAAGCTAATCATAGTGCATATGTATACTAACTTTGAACACAATTGGCAGATGACCAAGAAATTGTGTAGAACATATAAAAAAAATAAAACCAGCATGGCCATCAGTCTGCCAAATCGCAAAATAAACTGACATGCGCCAGTGATCCATAATTTGTTATGTTCAAACCAAGTTTTAACAAAATCAGCTTGAGAGACAAAAGATGAAATTTTGTGATTTATGGTTTTTTGGGATGAAAATGGTTGCTCAACAAACAAAACAAAAAATAAGTTGATGTATATGTGAATCATTATGTAAGGTCTTTCAACAAGCATTGGACAAGATCGGTGAAAGTATATAAAAAAAATGGGTTGGCCATTTTGGATCATATTACAAAACAAAATGATATGCATCAATCAGTAAATGTTGACATTTCAGACCCTGTCCAAATTAAACTAAAACAAGCAAATATTGATATGAAATATTATAATTAATAATAACTGCAGATACAAAATTTTCAAATATTTGGATTACTACAGTGTATATCAATCCAAGGTTACATCAATAGACACAAAAGCATTATGAATCGTCTTCAACTGCTGGCAGTCCACTGAGATCTAAGTCACTTGACGTGTTCTACTACCAAGTGTCAGATTCTTCAAACAGCTTTTCCGCTTCTTTATTGCTAGATTCTGAGAAGTAGTCAAGAAATATAAAATAGTTATACAGACAGCAATATTTTTGAATTTTGTCCAAACCTACTTGAATAAACATAAAAGAAATCACAGACACAAAATGAATCATCATAAAAACAGAAGTCTATATCCCTACCTTGATTTTCCTCACTTTTTATGTTTGCTTCATCTGCCGTTTTTATTTTTAAGTTCTTGTTGGCTTTTTCATCAGTATCATCAGTTTTCGTGTCTCTTGTATTATCTTCATTGTCACGGTTACTATTTTCATCAGCATCTTCCACTTCTATGTCTGGGTCTTCTTCTATTGGACTGATGCTTCTCCGTGAAACAAAAGGTGGGGCACTGAAAAACATAAAACAAGTAACAGCATTACATAGTCCCTATGAGTTTAAGAAATAAATAAAGTTTAAACATGAACGATCAGAACATGTCAGAGATATGGCTCCAAAAGTAAATAGCCACCAATCGGCCATTTTGAATTAGATTGGATGAATGAAATGATGTGCATCAAGGCCCCAAGTTTGAATGAAATCCATCCACACATGATCAAGATCTAATTTTGAAATAGCAACTGTGCCTAATTTTGATGCATTTTCAATATTAAATCTTGAATTGAAATGTCAAATGAATTTAATGTATGAAGTATATAGAAAGTATATAGAAAATTCAAACATGATGTGTCAGAGCATACCAGAGACATGGCTCTGAAACAGCATTAATTGAAAAAAATGGCCACCAGCAGTCATTTTGAATCTAATCTGAAAAACAAAATGATGTGCATCTAGGTCCTATAATTTCAAAAGTAAGTACCAAGTTTGAGCAATATTCATTCATACACAACCAAATCCAGTTCTAGAATGGCAGAAATGCTTGATCTTGATGAATTTTTAGCACAAAATTGGCTGTCTTTCGGCCATCTTGAATTGGATCACAAAAGCAATGAATATGCATGTGTACCTAAGATGCATGATGTACGTGTGAAGTTTGGATGTAATCTGTCCAGGCATGTTTGAGAAACAGGTGGAGATGCAAGCATGCATGCAAAGAGGCACAAAGGTCAAAACATAAGTGCCGTTTTAGGACTTCGTCCATTCCAGGACTAACAAGTTTGTTGAATAAATATTTTTAGAACAAGTCATTGTAAACAATTTGAATGCC